ATAGGAGTAAAACGGGGATAGTTGTTATCAATGGACTAAAACACGAGTGTGTTATTTTCCAGATTCCAGAATATCATATCAAAACCAATTGAACTAGTGACGACTTTTGGGTTGGAAATGTTTTAAAGGAGTGGGAGCTTCATTTTTGTAGCTCTAGTGACACCATTATTTGCTGCTAAAATCCAACTATTACCATTGTCCATTGACGATTGACCTTTTGTGGTTCTATGGTACAACCTTCACTTTTGAAACATCCTAAAATTGAGGATAGAAACTTTTACAATTTATACTATCATAACACCAGACAGATTTGCTCTATCTACCTACAACCTCCATATATCTTATATTCATGGAATGCTATCTTCCAAGTAGTCTTTTCATCTAAGGTATCAAATAGGGATGTCAAAAAGTCCCGTGGGACGACATTCCTCGTCACATATTGATTATATTGAAAAGTTTAAAAAATAAAATGATAAAGTAATAGGAACACTTCTCATTATTGATTATATTGAAAAGTTTAAAAAATAAAATGAAATGTATGAATATCTTTAAACCTTGAAGAACCTTTTTATAGACAACATTTTTTGTTTTATTGGTTGGACGACATTCCTCATCACATATGAGTACCTTCAAACATTTTTTACTTGTCAAACGAGAAACAACTACATATAACTGACCATGAGTGAAGACGGGTTTACACAAATACAATCCAACAGTTGATAATTGTTGTCATTGACTCTTGTTAATGGTCATAGCAAAACAAACATATACGAGGAATTGCCTTCGTTGAAAACGAAAGGGGATTCTTTTATCAGACGAAGTTAACTTCATGCGAAGTATATAAGTAGTCTCATTGAAGAATCTACTAACTATAATTCGTGCATCAATGACATGTTTTCCAAGTCTAACAATTTGTAACCTAATACCATTGTATAAACCTTTGGTTTGGTCGATATTACGAAGCAATATGGCCAGAACATCCGTTTTTAGAGTAAGTTTATGGTTAGGAATTCCAAATGCCTTAAAATCATTCAATACATCTAGAGAGTAACTGATTCCTTAAAACAATCTGCTGACCCTGTCTCACATAAAGAATCTGAACTCAAATAAGTTTTCCTTTCATGTTTGATCAATCCTAACATGTGGTCATTGATAACATCGACCTCTTCATTTATAGGGACCAAAATAGCTTTATCTTGTAAATATGATGGATCATCAAGATGGTTTTCAAAAGATGGATAAATGACCGATACAATTGAATGAATATGGTCACTTGTAGAGCAAACGATAACATCTTCTAGAAATTAAACTTCAACTTTAGCATCATTAGGACCACCAACATTACCTTCACCAATTTTAAGAATCTATTTAGCAAATGCTTTTGTCTCATCCAAATCATTAGTTGGACAACCAACCTGAAGCCTCATTAAATAGGATATTAAAAGAAAAAATGACTTATACAAATTAAACATTATAGAAATATATGTATTAAAAAAATTAATGATAACAGTTAATATATTGGGAAATTAAAATTGATGTTATATGATTTAAGATGCGGAGGTAGATATAATATAAAATAAATTAAGAATAATTTACATTGACCGGTTATTTGTGAAAGTGGCGACCTTGACGAAATAAATGCGGATTGCACATTCGGGCGTATGATGTTATGAGACGGGGACGTTGAAGGTAATTTGGTAAGGTTTCGAGTAACTCGACAATTAAGGGGTATGAAGAAATTACTTTCTGAAATGAAAATCTGTATCATAAATGGGGGAAATATATTAAAAAAAATATTTATAGTACAATACAAAGAAAAAAAGATCCATATCTTATATAATGTATTCATCAACTATATTTTTAGATAATAGTTCCATTAGCCTCCTATTCTTTCTTTTATTCATCAAGTACTATTAAAATACAAAAATTTATATTCCATCTTTGTACGTGTTTTTGGGCTAAACATTAGTGTAGTGATATAATAGTTAGGTCAACCATTATAACCTATTTTGAAGTAATAAAGATGAATTATTTGAGTATTATGTGAATTATGTAAATTTATGTGCTTTATACTTATTTATAAATGTATAATAAATAAAAGATAAAAATAAGCGTAACAATTAAAGTGTTAGATAAACCCAATATCGATGAAAAAAGTTGTAGTGGTCGTGAAAAGGATTCCAGACATATAAAAAGAACGCCGAAATCCGAGTTATAACGAAGAAGTTATGGCCTATCGAAGTTTCGCGACAAAACCGACACGACGCTGTGTGATGTAAATATTGAATTTACGATAGGGGACTTTTTAGCCTTAGTAATCTAAACAAAAGTCGTAGTATACGTAAAATTGAGAGCGTGCATAAAAAGAACGCTCAAATCTGATTTTGTATGAGGAAGTTATAGAGTCATAAAAATGAGAGCTTGGACATTCTCATCTATCCATGTATGAGTTATTGAGCAAAAAGTGACAATATGGACTTAGAGTTTGGTTGTGTGTTCATCTTGGTCATGCAAAGGGATGAAGTCATAGACTTTATTCATTAAGGGGTGTTTGGATAAATATGTTTTTAGCCTATTAGCTTATTGCTTATTATCTTATTGCGGTGGGAATAAGCAGTTTTTTAAAAAGTGTTTGGATTAGCTTATTTAGCTTATTCCTACCACAATAAGCAATAAGCAATAAGCATTCTCCCCATTGCTTATTAAAATCAACTTATTTAGCTTATTCCTACCACAATAAGCTGATTTTTTAAGCTTCCTATCCAAACACTTCAACTCAGCTTATTGTGGTGAGAATAAGCGATAAGCAATAAGTAGCCACTTTTTTCCCTATCCAAACACCCCCTAAATCATTTATTATGATCAGATCTAGGAGTTAGAGAGTTTGGCTTGCTGTATTAACAACTTATTAGAAGTTTTTGGGAGCGGGGGTTCTACGCTGGGCGTATCCCTCTCTACGCTTGGCGTAGACTTCTGTACACTGAGCATAGCTCTAAGCTAAGTGTAGCTCTATGCTGGCGTTAGTGAACTAAGGGTTGGTCGTTGACTTTTTAACCGATTTGACTTTTGGTCAACCATGTTGGGACTTTGTATTTGACTTTTAAATGCGAGCCTATAGCTTTCGAGAGTTAGTTGTTACCTTGATTGTTAATTAGAGTTTTCGTTATGTGTATGTTTAGCAAGAGGAGACTTGATATCGTTGGCTCGAGTGTGTGGTTTGTCTTGTCTTCAAGATTGAGAGGGATCTTATCACTATACAATAGGACACTAGGTGTCATTTTGTGCATGTTGTCTTTGTGACTATTGCTGGTATGCTTGTATGTTATATGTGTGTGAGTTGATACAGACTCGATGGAGTCGATCTGGACTTGGAGTCAGTACAGACTCGAGGTTGTTATGGACTCGGGGTTGATAGAGACCTGATGGAGTTGATCTGGACTTGGATTCAATACAGACTTGGGTTTATTTCGGGCCCTGGGTTGATACGAACCCAATGGAGTCGATCTGGTCTCGATGTTAATACAGACTCGGGGTTGTTACGGGCCCGTTACAACTACGTGATGTTATATATGATGTATGTGGTATTTTGGGGAACTCACTAAGCTTTTTGCTTACAGTTGTGTATTAAATATTTTGCAGATACTTATCGGGCTGCGAAGGCGGGACTGTACACACATTAACAATTTTATGATTCGAGATTCTGCATTGTCTTCTTTATGACTACGATTTCTGAATAATGGTTTAAAAACAAATGGTTTGACCTGAATGTAACTTTATTAGAAATGAGTGTTTATTCTATTTTAAAATGAAAATTTTACTCTGGAAATTGGGACGTTACATAAATGCAATGGAATAATGCCAACTAGATCAAGGGGTTTGCATAGGAACCAATTGCGGGGCCTTGTTTGATGATTTGTTCTCCAGTAAAGGTCAGCGCAAGTGTTGTCACTTTATGTCACCATCTCAAATTGGATTGTTCAAGAAAACATAGAATTGTTAATCAATAACTGTTAAATAAATTAATTATTTATAGCTCACCTTGTTGTCTGATAAATATTGTTTTGTCATGTATATCAGGTTCAGGTAGCAAGCCTTAGTACGAGTGGTGATAGCAACAACAAGACATGGACTAGATTTAGATTTTTGTACCGTATAATCTTGTTGTTTTAATTATGGTTGTGATATGGTTTGTACACCTGCTAATTTTCTGGGGAAAAATGTTATATGGTTTTTGAAACTTTGGTTTTTGAATGATGTTGTATAATAGTCTGATAAAATCCCAAAAAATAATATTATAAATGTATGTAAAAAGTTTTGGGTGTTACTTGATATTTTAAAGATCTAACAATGAAAATCAGTCAAAAGGGCATCCTGCTTTGAAAACTATTTTAGGAAACATGGTTTGGCAATTTTGCCAAAGTAGGATGCTATTTTATAGATTAAACAATCAGCCAAAATAGCACAGGGTTAATTTCTATGTGCAAAATTGACAATTCATATAAATTTCAGTGGACAAAAAGCAAAAGATGCGTGGAAAAATCAACCCCTTTAATTCCATCAAATTCGAACTTGATATTGTTTATGACTGCAACAAGTTGTGGGTCTACTAAAAAAGCAAAAAGGAAAGCAGATATGGGGTAGGCCGGCTATCAATAATTCAATATAAGCATTTCCATTAAATACAAACTCAACACTCAAAATAATGGCCAACTATTTTGTCTTTTTTCTTTGGTGGATAATATTGTTTGCTGGATGTGTGTAAATATCAAGATAGTAAAGGGGGCAAAGTGTGCAAAGTAGAAACTTGGAGCTTAATGCGCGACAGTGGACGCGTATGCACTAAAATTAGTAAATTACCAAAACCAAGATACTTTTCTCATTTTTCGTCTCTTCGTTGACTGTGTCTAGATAAGATCTCTGAGTCGTTCCTTAAATCGTTTATAGTTGTTTTCCGTTCGTCTTACTGTCTGCTGATTTGTTTTCACTCACAGTTTGGTTCAAGTTCTTTCTTCAAAATTGTTTGAACTGAATTTAGATCTTCGGGAATATATGGTTCATATCTCCAAATATATATATATATATATATACATACGCACGCATCACTGCTTTATATTTCTGTTCCCTTCAATTAAATTTTTGGTACTCGATAAACATCATGTCTCCCCACAAACAGTTTGATCACTTACGAATCCCGCTTGAAGAGATAGTATCTGCCACCGACAACTTTTCTGATGCAAATTTCATCAGATATGATGGATTTGGAAAGGAGTACAAAGGACAACTCTTGCAGTCCGGTCGATTGGTCGATATCGTTGCACGGAGGTTAGATGATAAGAATGGAATAGGAATCAAAGAGTTTTGGATGGAGGTCTCGATGCTTTGTACACTTGAGCATCAAAATATCGTCTCTATCGTTGGGTTTTGTGACGATGGTGATGATGGTGAGAAGATCGTCATAAACAAGCTTGAGACCCGTGGAAGTCTTTGTAACTATTTAACAGACCCGTGCCTCACATGGATGCGAAGGTTGCAGATATGTGTCGGTGTTGCGCGGGCATTATATTACATTCATTATGATGAGGGACGTGATTTTGGCGTCATTCATCGCGATATCAAGAGTTCAAAGATTTTACTAGATGACAACTGGGAAGCAAAATTATATGGTTTTGAACTTTCCATGAATCAGGCTGCGGCTGAATGGAACTGTGTATCTTATAATAAAGTTTGTGGCACACCCGGATATATGGACCCAACATATGTCAAGACTGGAAGTGTGTCCCACAAGTCCGATATGTTTTCCTTTGGCGTGGTATTAATTGAAGTACTTTGTGGCAAGGTAACAGAAGCTGTAAACGAGGGTGAGGACTATCTATATGAATTGGCCAAATCACATATTGAAAATGGAAGACTATATGATATGGTGAATCCGGGTCTATGGAAACAAATGGACCCACAATCATTCAAAATCTTTTCAGAAATAGCGTATTGTTGCTTGAAGGCAGAACCATCAGAACGACCAAGTATAGATCAGATTCTCATACAACTTGAGAAAGCACTGGAATCTCAACAGGAACAAGAAAATCATGTAAGACCATTGATGATTCATCCGGTTCCACTTTCTGTTCGTACCTCTGTCATTATAAACTCGTGTTTATAGGATATATATTTTTCATTGTAGCCGTTTATATCAAATGATTGCTGTGGCTCCCTGTTTTGCAAGGATAGAGGGATATGCTAAGACATCAAAGTATGTTGCTTACCCTATCCTAAACCATGGACTCGAACAATAAACCTCCCATATGGAGAGTGCCTTACCTGCTTAGACATCAACTGCTTACTCTATGATTTTTTTTTTGGACAGCAAGAAAAGATTGAAGGCGCAACATCCAAGAGCTTGAAGGTAATCGATCTGTTTTGGGATGAGGCAATTGTGGTCAATATCATATCAAAACTAAGTCTACTCAGTTTGGGAAAAAGGGTTAGCTTGATTTGATTCCTTATATGGAAATAGGAATAACTAAAAGGGAAAATTATTAATCTAACCAAATTGACTTATCACTATTTAACTAAAAATTAGGATTTGTCCCAAACTAGCCTTCGAAACCATAGATAGTTAGAATGGTCTATTGTTTCACCCATTTACCTACTGTTTTGATTTTTGTATATAAAGAATTTTTTTTTTTTTTTTTTTCATTTTTCACTACGAAACCGTAGACGAAAAAATGATCTACTGTTTTTCTCTCAGAAGTCTACTGTTTTCCAAATAGTAGATTAAAAATAATCTATTGTTTCGTTTAAAAAACACTAACTTTTTGACTACTATATCGTACCTACTATATATTAAACGAAACATCTCTTTTACAGTAAAAGTTAGTGTTTTTTTTTCATTTAAAAAAACGTAGGTTTTGGACGAAACAATAGATCATTTTTAATCTACTAGTTGGAAACAGTAGAAGACTTCTCAGAGGAAACAGTAGACCATTCTTTTGTCTACGGTTTCATAGTGAAAAATGAAAAAAAAATCTTTATATATTAAAATCAAAACAGTAGATAATTGGGCGAAACAGTAGACCATTTTTTACAATTTCGGAGAAAAAAAAAATAAAAATTTCAGTTTTTTTTTTTTTTTCAGCGATTTTGACCTAAAAGTTGCGACTTTTTGATAAAAAAACTCAAAAAAAAAGTTTTGTGATCTCTAATTTTTTTTAAGCATTTTAATGAGTTTTAGGGTTTTTTGTTTTCCATAGAACCTAAACCTCTATATATATATATATATATATATATATATATATATATATATATATATATATATATATATATATATATGAGTTCAACACAACCAAATAACACCACATAACAACCATCTAAACCATTGGATTAGATTATGTCATTAAGGGTATGACTGTATAATAATCTTTATGAACATAACTTTTTCAGATTCTCTAATCAATTTTTACATGTTTATAAATGAACATATGTTCATTCATAAATGAAAATATGTTCATAAATGAACATAATTTTTTCAGATTCTCTAATCAACTTTTACATGTTCATATGGTTAATTTTTAGCAATACATATCCAAAAAAACATTGGCTAACCACTCGTATCACAATTAGATTAAAGACAAAACTTCAAAAATGGTCCCTGTGGTTTTCAAAAATATCAAGTTTAGTCCCTAAGTTCAAAAAACCTCACAGATGGTCCCTGTGGTTTCAAAATTTTTAACAAATCGTCCTTTTCGCTAACACCGTTAACATTTAACCGTTAAGTCAGGGGCATTTTTGGTATTTCACTACACAGGGACCATTTATGAGGTTTCCAGTTACTTTTTTTTAAATAAATAAATAAATAAAATTTAATATGCAAGGGTCCCACCTCTCTCTCTCTCTCTCTCTTTCTCCAGTTACGGACGACCATCAAGAACCCAATCACACACCCTCTCTCACTAAACTTTGAAGGGATCCGTTCACTGGAAAATCTGATGCACTGGAAAATCTGATGCAGTGCCTCAAGATTCTGAATGTGGGCAAAGATGTTCTCTCAAGCAATTCGTCGAACACCTTCAATGCACGACTTATATTCCCCACTTTCCAACTGATTTATTAAACTATCAATATCGACATCGGAAAGCTTTCCCCGGTATGGTCATATCTACTAGTGAACAAACAAAACACCCTGTTTCCATCCACCTCACAAATATCATCAACAAAATCCAACCAAATCAAAATCAAACCTCACACTCTTCCTTAAATGGGAAAGGAAAACTCAATTCAAGAATTACAGTTGCAAAATCCAAATCCAATTCAAAATCTAAATCTAAATCCAAATCAAAATCCCCAAAAAATCTTTACTACCATGGCAACAAGTTCTGTGATGTCCAGTGATCGCCTTTTTTGCCACAAGTTCTGCATACCGTGAGTACAGCGTCGCCTTTGCTCAGCTATCCTAAGCCGTCTCTGGTAGCCTTTTCTTCTCCCTTCGAACCTATCAAAATTTCAACACGAAAAACACAAAATTAGTCCATTTTGAAAAGAGAAATGCAAATACAGATCGATTTTTCAAGGTTTAACACCAAATCCGATAATTATATTCGACTGATGAATTTATCGCAATCAGAGGAAGAGGAATGTATACGATTTCATGAAACTGAAACGAACTTGACAGTGGAATTGTCGATGGAAATATAAGAACACACCAATTTCATAATTCATCAATGAGATAACAGAAAGTGTCAAGAGGTTGAGAGACAAACCAGGAGCCCTAGGTCGTTCAAGCAAGATCTCTTCATTCGAAACCATGATGAGCCGAGAACCGACTTCTTCATGAACGGCATCGCCAAACATCGCCCACGACCGACGCTCGATGGTGCGCTTGCTTAATCGGGCTTTAGCGAGCTTCTGGACTCGAATAGGAAGATGAGAGGGAAGAGGTCTTGGCAGTCTAATGAAGCAGAAATGGGGACAAGAATAGGAAGTATTGGGGGTGTCTGTGTGGTGCTAGACGAATAAGAAAACGGAGAGAGAGAGAGAGAGAGAGAGAGAGAGAGAGAGAGAGAGAGAGAGAGAGAGAGAGAGAGAGAGAGAGAGAGAGAGAGAGAGGGGTGGGACCCTTTTAAATATTATTTATTTATTTATTTAAAAAAAGTAATTAAAAACCTCATAAATGGTCCCTCTATAGTGAAATGACAAAAATGCCCCTGACTTAACGGTTAAATGTTAACGGTGTTAGCGAAAAGGACCATTTGTTAAAAGTTTTGAAACCACAGGGACCATCTGTGAGGTTTTTTGAACTTAGGGACTAAACTTGATATTTTTGAAAACCACAGGGATGACTTTTGAAGTTTTGTCTAGATTAAATTAAGGATAAAAGTATATAAAAATATGTTCATAAATGAACATATGCTAATAAATGTTTGTACACTAACATAGATTAGATAGGAATTGAATTGGGGAACATATAATACAAAACAAAGATCAGGGGAAAACATATAGAAGACATAAGAATGAAACTTGAGTAGGTTTGGATTAATATGAAAATATGTTCATCTGTTCATATATGAACATATGTGATATGTTTGCATATGAACATATGTGCAAATCTTTCATATAGGAGTTTCAGTCCATCTCTGTTATCAAGTCAACAAAATGAACATTTATAATAACCGTCTCTATACATGCCTCGAGTGCAATGAACTCAATAAAATTGAAAGAGTTTTAGTCCATCTCTGCCATCAAGTCAACATAATGTATTTTGTTGGCTAACAAGATCAGATCCTACAGACTTCTCCACTCTCTATCAACACAATTTGCCTTCCCTGTTACAATACACCATTTTACACCAAATTATTAGGATTCATTTATTGCCACTTTCTAATTCTATTTTTTTCTTCTGCTTGATAGCCAATTGTACAGTTTTACAATCACAATAACAGGTAGCTTCTTCTAATTGCATAAGTGTAAAAAAAATTAATAAATATCAATCCTAGAAAACTCCAATTCATGATATTTTCTTGTTAAAACCCCATTTTCCCAAATCTTCAAGCTCTGTTTTGCTTTAAACAACCTAACTAAGTTACAGTTTCCTGAAAGTCAATTAAGAGAAACAGATGACGTGGCTTATTACTGTATCGATAAAATGACTTGTTAGACCAACAAAGTTTCCAAAACGTTCAAAAAACTCCAATCATGTTCTGACTGTTAAAAAAAAACCCAATGAACTTAAACAAAACAAAATTGAAATTTTCTGAACGGTTTGGAACTTGTTTGGACTTTTTAGACAAAATTTTAAGTTCGTTGGGTTTTTTTGAACAGACAAAACATGATTGAGATTTTTTGAATGGTTTGGAAACTTCCTTGGGCTTTTAAGTCATTTTCCCGTAAAAGAAAGGTCCCACATAATCATTGAGGTTGAGACAATCTTAAAGCCACATAACATCATATGAAATCCAAAAGTATAAAATCAAAAATGCAAATGAATAGACAGTAAATGGATCTCAGTTGAATTGACCTGATGAAACGTAGATTTTCCACATGAATTACACATTCAGTAAGGAAATAAATAAGAAATCAGTAGTACACACAACCACAAGCATGTAAAATTGTTACTTAAAAGATAAAACATCTATCGAAAAATGATTTTAAATATATGAAATTATATAATTTTTTATTTTCTATAAATAGACATCCACATTGATATAATTTTAAGATAAAATAATTTTTTTATAGTTTCAACCCTTATTATTAATAAGTGAATAAAAGTAAATCAGATCTTTATTATAATAAATTCGTTATTAAGTTATGAATAAAAAATATGTTTAAATTTTTTTACAAATGTTCGTGGCATTTCATAATTCATAATAACAAATAAAAAGAAGACCGGGCTTGTTTTGTCTAAGGTGGGCCAGACTAAACCAATATATATATATATATATATATATATATATATATATATATATATATATATATATATGCTTACTAATGTTCATGACATTTCATAATTCATAATAACAAATAAAAAGAAGACGGGGCTTGTTTTGTCCAAGGCGGGTCAGACTAAACCACTTTTCTGGTCCAAAGTTTCATGCTTAAAGGGGGGACTAGGCCTTTTTAGTCCATGGTGACCGGGTACAACTCTAGGTGTGGGTGTGGGCATGGTTAATTTTGAAGAGCTAAAAAAACAAAGAACAAAAAATTTATTTGAATCAAAATCCAAAAAAAATATTATAACAACAGATTGAATGTGATTTATTCCAAGATTAAACTACTAAATATCAAATATCAAATCTAATAGTAAAATAAATATACACAAAGGATAATACTTTAAATTGTAATTAACTAAAGTAGAACTTGTGAATATATAATTTTCTTAAGTGCGACACTATTAGAACTAGAAAACAAAAAGGAAAGTAGAGATGGGAGTTGGCTGTCTATATATACACACACATCATTATTGTATCTTACTAGGGGTGCAAACGAGCCAAACTACTTGTAAGCTACTCGAGATCGAATCGTTAAAAGCTCGACTCGAGATCGATTTTAAACGAGTCCGAGCCGAGCTCGAGCTTAATATTAGGCTTGTTTATTAAACGAGCATGAGCTCGAGCCTCTGTTACTTGGCTCGATTAGGCTTGCAAGCCTAAACGAGCCTACATATATATAATGATAAAAAAAAAATTATTTTTGTATATTAAAATAAATAATAATTTAATAAATACCATTTTAGGAAATTAGAGTATACCGTATATGAGCCGAGCCCGAGCCCATATAATTCTTAACGAGCCGATCTCGAGCTTTGCACCATAAGGCTCGAGCGAGCCGAGCTCGAGCTCAAGCCTATAAATAGTTAAATGAGCCGAGCCCGAGCTCGGCTCGGCTCGTTTGCAGCCCTATATCTTACCATTACCTGCTTCTTCATTTGTCTTTGTTTTCTTACAAACAGTTGGCTCACTTACAAATTCCACTTGAAGAGATAGTATCAGCCACCAACAGCTTTTCTGATGCAAACCTTATCGGACGTGATGGGTTTGGAAAGGAGTACAAAGGACAACTCTTGCGGTCACATGAATTAGTCAATATTGTTGCGCGGAGGTTTTTTTATGATAACTTAAGGAGAGAAAGCAACGGGTTTTTTTATGGAGGTTTCGATGCTTTCTAAACTTAAGCATAGAAATCTTGTCTCTATCATTGGGTTTTGTGATGAGAACGGTGAGAAGATCGTCATAAACAAACATGAGATCCATGGAAGTCTGTACGACTATCTACAAGACCCGACCGTGACATGGATGCGAAGATTGCAGATATGTATTGGTGCCGCGCACGCTTTGAGTTACATTTATTATGATAAGCGACGTGATTTCAGCATCATACACCGTGATATCAAGAGCTCCAAGATTTTACTGGATGAGCAGTGGGAAGCAAAATTATCTGGTTTTGAACTTTCCATCACTCAGACAGCAAGTCGAAGGGACTGTCTTTGCATTCCTGTGGATGTTTGTGGTACGATAGGGTACCGTGACCCAACATATGTTCAGAGTGGATTCGTGACCCACAAGTCAGATATTTATTCATTTGGCATTGTATTATTTGAAGTCCTGTGCGGAAAGCATTGTGATGATGATAAGTTGTTAGCTCCATCGGCCAGATCATACTATGAAGAGGGAAGACTAGAAGATATGATAGATCCGGTTCTATGGAAACAAATGGACCCAAAATCATTCAAAATCTTTTCAGAAACAGCATACTACTGCGTGAAGGAACAACGACAACAACGTCCAAATATACATCAGATTGTCATACAACTTGAGAAAGCCTTGGAATTTCAATGGAAACATCAAAACCCTGCTGTAAGACGTATACCCTTCATTTATTTTAGCTTTTGCTTTGCGTGTTGGCGCTTGGCATAATATGCTCATTAATTTATTTCCCATTGTTGTAGTTCATATCAAAGGCTCACTCTATGGTTAAGGGCATGACTTCCAAGAGCTTGAAGGTAAGTGATCTAAATAATTTGGTTTTGGCCTAAAAGTAATATTTCTTTTTTCATTTTTGCTCTTCATCTTGATGTTTAATTGCTTCTGCTATTGTACCTAACCATTGCTGATTTATTGGGGTCTTAAATGTTTTCTTTTTGTCATTTAATAAAAGACAGTCTGTTGCAACACACCGCATTTTTAATTTGAGTAAAGTGTTGCTGCAGGGGAAAAACTTGAAACACTTAGAGATCCCACTCATTGATATACAATTGGCCACCGAGAATTTTGGTAAAACATACCTCATTGGGTCAGGCGGATATGGTGATGTGTACAAAGCTGAACTTGACCATTTTGATAGCAAAAACTTGTTGCCATTAGAAGAGAAGAAGACAAGGGAACATGCCAAGAAGCGCTCCACTGTAGCTATCAAACGCATATTGAATAGAGAAGACAAACAAGGAATACAAGGGTTCCTAGCAGAAATTGAAATGCTTACAAATTGTAAGCATCCCAACATAATCTCTCTTCTTGGATTTTGCAAGGAAGGTGATCATATGTTACTTGTCTACGAGCATGCTTCTAAAGGAAGCCTTAGTGATTATTTGGGAAGCACCGGTGGTAAGTTGACTAATCTTACTTGGGTGCAACGTATAAAGATATGTATTGATATTGCACGCGGATTGAATTACCTTCATACCAAGATAGAGGACGATCGAAGGATAATACACCGTGATATAAAAAGCGATAACATTTTGTTAACTGAGAATTGGCAAGCCAAGATTGCTGATTTTGGGCTCTCCAGATTACGCAGTGTGAAAAAAAGTCAACAAGTGAACAAGACTCTCAATACAGAAACTCTTGCAGGCACAGATTTTTATTGGGACCCAGAATATTTTAAAACGGGTAGGTTGAAAAATGAATCAGACATTTACTCTTTTGGAGTCGTTTTATTTGAGATCCTGTCAGGGAAGCTTGCTAATGATGAAATTTACACCAAAGAAAATATCAACGGGATTGCACCTGTCGCAAGACGTCGCTTCAATGAGGGAACAATAAGGGAAATGGTAGATCCTAAGCTGATGGAAGAAACTCATGACAACATTTTCACTTCAAGTAGAGGACCCGACAAAGATTCATTGGATACATTTACGAAAATTGCATATCAATGTGTGGCAGAATCTCAAACTAACCGTCCAACAGCAGAAGTCATAATTAAGAAACTTGAGGAAGCGTTATCTTTACAAGTAAGTCATTATGTAAATCATTAACATTTGCTAATTAGGAGCTCCATCGATATCATTTTAAAAGAAATGTCGGATGTATGATGCTAGTTTAAAATGAATAACTGATGTTGGACATTTTTCCAACTTTTCAAGTTTTCTGTTGAACACACTCATCCCACATCGACACTGTAATGAAAAAGAACAAAGAGGGCCTGCAAAATTTGAAGGGTAGTTTGTACGGTAAAGGTAGAAATTGATTTAATGGCTTTTTCCAAGGCTATTATGAAGGACTAATTTAGATCATAAAAAAAAAAAAAAAAAAAACTTGTCCAAAAAAGCAACTGTTTTGGCATGGTTTTGTTTGAAAAAAACTGTTTTGGACCTCCCTCCCTGAGAAACATGACCTGCCCAAAGCCTGTTAGTATTGATTAGTTTGACCACTTCAGAAACATTAATTGTATAATACTATGTTCCAATTTTGGCCTAAAGAGAATTTAAAAATTTAGGACTAGTTAGATGATCATATATTAAGTTGCACTGTTGCATATGATAACTAGTGTCTAGTGTATTTCTGAAAATAAATAAAAAAAAAAAAATTAACTAGTGTCCAAGTTAATCAGTTATCCATAAAAAAAAATGGAAAGGTTTTGTAAAATATAATAATCTTATACCATTGATAAAAAATATAATATATAACTGATTTTTAATAAGAGGTTCAACTTATTTTTGAATTATTAAGTTCATCATCTGGTGTTTAATGATTCACAGGAAAACATCAAGGACCACCTCAAATTCTCACTTGATGACATTAAAACTGCCACACAAGACTTCAGCCATAACAACTTGATTGGTCATGGAGGATTTGGGGATGTATATAAAGGAGAAGTTACACATGCTAAGGGACGTTCTACTATTGCTGCAAAGCGGTGGCATGGGAGATATGATCAGGGAGAACACGAATTTTTGATGGAGCTTCAAATTCTCTTGGAGTATAAACATGAAAATTGTATTGGTCTTTTAGGCTATTGCAACGAAATGGGTGAAAAAATCATTGTTTATGAGTATGCTTCTAGAGGAAGTCTGGATAGGTACTTGAAGGACAAAGGTCTTATGTGGATGAAACGGCTTGAGATATGCATCGATATTGCAAGTGGGTTGGATTTCCTTCATGGAGGTGGAGCGGCACAAGAGCCGGTGATACATAGAGACATTAAAAGCTCAAACGTTCTATTAACCAATGATTGGAAAGGAAAAATTTCTGATTTTGGGCTTTCGTTAATAAGTCCATTAAATAAGGATATTGACTTTGTCATTGATAATTTACGCGGCACAATAGGCTATATTGACCCACTATACCTGAAATTGGGTTTCTTAACCAAAGAATCTGATATATATTCACTCGGCGTTGTTTTATTTGAGATATTGTCTGGCAGAGATGCATTTGTTGATTACAATACGCATGGGCATCTATCTGTATTGGTTAAAAACAACTTCAATGAAGGAAAACTTGATGAGATGGTGTTCGAAGGTATAAAAGAACAAATTGCCCCAAAATCATTGGCTACATTTCAAATAATTGCCTACCAATGCTTACATGATGATAATAAAAAACGACCAACATCACGCGATGTGCTACTACAACTCAAAAAGTCGTTGGAATTCCAAGTAAGTTTCATACACTCGTAAGAATGTATCAAGACATAACTAAACAAACAAAATGTACCTTCTTTAATAAGTATAAACAATAGTTCTTTTTTGATAATAACGAATGAAAATTCATTGTCAATGAATAAGGTCCAAAAAATTTTAAGAACCATTTTTGGTTGGATATTTTTATGTATTATTGAAAGTACAAAACAAATAGATATCTAAATGATAAAGGATTTCACATATTTCAATATATTTCATTTGTCAAGTG